TGTGATCTCTCAACGATGCCCCTTCCACCAGGTCCATAACAATATACAACTTGTGGTTCTCGACAAAGACACGACGATATCGAACGATATTTGGATGTCGCAACTGCAACAAATCACCGACAGTCATCATTCGCCTTTGATGGGGACGATGTGGAGCTGTTTTAGTGGTCAGTTGGCAGAAATTCGGGAAAGACATTGTGAACTAATTAAAATGAATGGAAAGTTCAAGTTTTTTGATTCTCATCAGCTAGAAAGAGAGGACTATCACTTTTCTTTCGTCTTGTAGTAGGACTGTGAGAAGGAAGAAATAAGTGGAACCTGTTGTTTGATTATTCGGACTTCACTTATAATATCACCGTAACTCTTGTCCACGTTACTTTCGTCTTCTTGCAGCATGAAAATCTGAAGTTACAGCGAAATTTGGTCAATTATTTTAGATTAGAGACACTAGCCACTTTGAACGATTTCGAAAAACATTTTGCAAGATTGTGATTAAATGTTGAGTCGTCAACTGCGTAGTCTTACAAGATTGCCTTATAACGCTACAACGATATAACGTCAGAATTTTATCAATTAGAATTATTTGATAAGACTAGAACAGTGGTGAGGATGAGAAGGCTTATTGGTTGAGGGAGTCGATCTGTGTGCTTGAAGGAACTCTCAAAGGAAAGAACTTTGCCGTACGGGAACAAATCAAATGAAGGTGATAGTTATTTGATCAACTATATGGAGCAAACTCAATCGATGATATATTTTGCACAGGTTTCGCATATACCTCTTTGAGTGCATATGTTGGTGCTGAGGTTTTATGCGCTGAATTGATTATTTTCTTGTGCACTCGATAGACACATCCGAATGCACCTGAGCCCAACTGTTCGATAACTTCATACTGACCGATCACTGCGATTGGATCACGTTGTTGATCACTTGTATCCCAACACGATTGAACGGTGTCTTTGGGTGTCGTCTCCTACAAAGACTTCCAGAAAGTTTATGTTCACAACAAATGCTGCTGGCTAGGAGGATAGAACTTTCTTGTCATATTTTGTCGCCATGGTTTAACACACCATAAATGAATTTCGATAGGGAAAGATGTTCAATAATCATGATTTTTGATTTATGCATACAAACCAGGTCGTTTCTCAAGAATAGAATAATTTCGGTTGGAAAATTATATATTTTCCGAGAAAAGGTGAAGATTCCGGGTGATATGCGCATCTGAGAACAGTATCTTCTCTGTGAGATCAACGATACAACTAATTGATCATTACCCAATCAGTGTATTCATATAAAATATTTCCTTATAATCAGTGGCGTATGATCGATCAGAAAATTTTCGCTCGGTCCTTCAGTCAGGCTCCAGTTCATCTCAGGTGGTTGATAAAAATGTATGTGAAGCATTAAAACTTACAATAATGTGACGATAGCTGTCCACAAGTGTCGTATAAGCTTGTAGTTCATGCACATAATGACCAATATCGATGAACTTTTCATAGAAATCTGA